TCACTTTCCCTAATGTTGTAATTTTCTGGAATAACATGTTCCATAGGAAGTAAAAATTAAGCAGACAGAAAAAAAGTCTAAAATAAATATCTTCAGAGTGGTAATGGAGTTTAATGAAACTATGTGGCAGAAATAAACACTTTTTGAGACAAGGTCTTCCTGTAGTTCCAGCTGGCCTAGAACTTGCTATGTAAACCAGGCTGGCCTAGATCTCACAAAGATCTGCTTGCCTCTGCCTCCTGAGTGCTGGGATTAAAAGTCTGTGCCACCATGCCTGGTCCAGAAACAAAGAACCTATTTGAGTTGTTAGACATGACAATTAAAAGTATTCATAACAATATTCAACTGAGTGTAGTGGAATGAAATAGTATGTCAGGAGAGACTGAACTTCCAGTTCTTTGAAGTGCTTGCTATACTCAACAGCAAAGAGAGAATCAAGCTAAGTGACTACCAGCAAATGAATAGATGAAGGATATATAGTGTATATATGAACACTGTTCAGCCATAACAAATAACAAAATTCTGTCTTTGTGACAACATGAATGAACCTAGAGGAAACAATCCAGATACATAAAACATGTCCATGATTTCATGTTCCACAGGAAGAAAAAAAAAACGGTATGAAATCAGAATAATTTGATCCCTGGAGGAGAGTAGAATAGTGGTAAGCAGTGGTTTGGGTGATTTTGGTGAGAAGACAGGGGCATGATGATCAATGGCACCCAATTATAGTTATATGTAAGGAATAGAAAATATCCAGAGTAACACATATTCAGAGACAAAAAGTAGACAAATACATTGGGCTGGTGGGAAGGGTGGAGAGGACAGGTATGGAGAAGAGAGGCAGTACTAATGATAATGAAGTGTCTGTGTGCTTGTGTATGTGTGTATTTGTGTTTGTGTGTGTGTGTATGTGTGTGTGTGCGTGTGTGTGAATGTACACATATGTACATGTCAGTGTGAAGGTCAGAGGACAACTTCAGGGGTTGTTCTTCAGGATCTGGTCACCTTGCTTTTGGGACAGGTCTCTCACTGGGATCTGTGGCTTGCTGTTTAGGCTTGGCTGTCTGGCCAGAAAGCCCCAAGGATCCTCCTGTTTCTGCTTTCTGTTTCCCCAGTACCGGGATTATAAGCATATACCATTATGCCTTTTTTTGTTTGTTTGTTTTGTTTTTTGTTTGTTTTTAACATGGACACTGGGGGTTGAAGTCAGGTTCTTATGCTTGCAAGGCTGTCTCTCCAGTCTAAAGTTGTCCTTTTACAGTGATGAAAACATTCAGAAATTGAGTGTGGTTAAGGTTGTCTAACACTGTGCACTCTAAAAACCTCTGGAGTCTGTACTGATGAGAGAAGCTGATGCCATCTGCTCTCCTCTAACACACTTTCCTGAGTACAAAGCACAGAGATGAGAAATTCTACTGTCACTGAGAAATGACCTCATTAATTGATTTTCCAGAAATTGGAAGAAAAGTTTGATTCGCCATGAGAAGTTTAATTTTTTCTAAATCCAGCTATTAGTGTTCTAGGGTCTGGTAAGAAGATGTAGACTATTTCACCTTTTATAGAGCTAGACTAAAATAAAAACTTTCACAGATTAGAAATGGGACAGAAATGTGTTCCTGAAATCTTTCTGTATTTACTCAGCAGATTTTTTGCTTATTCTTGAGTCAATTCAATTCCCATTAAAAATTTCAGACTAAATAGCTGTTTGCAGGCTTCTCTGATGTGCCCATGGAGCATCAAGTAAGCAATGTGCTTTGTTCCAGTATGCCTTTGTCCCCACATATGGTTTGCTTCTCTGCAGTGCTGCAACTGATGCATGAGGGCCTCTGGGGCTCAATGGCACGCCCGCGCTTCCTTCCCAACACCGATCATTCTTTGACAGAACCACTAAGAATGGCAATCAGACTTCTTATTCCTCAAGGAGATTCTGTATTAGCACTTGACCACAGTAATCACACTGGTTAGTCTCCAGGTCCACTTGATCAGTGAGGTTTCACCTATCAACAAGCCAAAGCCTATCCATTCTGAGTTTATGGACAAAGGAAAACCTAAATTAAGCATCTAGGTTTGCTTGCTCTTAGGTGACTTGAAAATCATCAGTTTTGGAGATCATGCAGCTGGGGAAACATATGGTTGTTTTTACCAGCTTTTTTATAACCAGCCCTCTGATATGTAGGTTATGGTATAGTTGTCTAGGTTGCCTGAAGACCACTTTTGGTGAAACATCAACTCTTCACTTGGGCTTGCAGATGTTTGATGTTGCAATGGGATAAAAAGGCTTGGCATTTCTGTCTTCATAGTGTGTCCAGTTCTTTTACTGCCAGAACTTCTAGGTCAGATTCTACTTAGCTCTGTATGTAGTTGTATTGATTGTCCACTAAAAGCGTGGTATGTATTTTCTTATACTCAGCCCTTGTGCGTTTTCAACACATTCAGTACCTGGAGCACAAATGGCTCATGCTTATCACAGGGTCTAGACTGAACCACAAGGCCAGAATGTGCAGGATGTTGCACCAGCTGCAAATGAAACTCAGAACTTCCTTGGACAAGTTGGCTGTAGATTAGCCTTCTAACTACAAAATCAGAATATTTTCAGAGAAGAAAGAAAACATCTTCAAGGCCATGCCCAGGACCACTGTAAAATTACCAACCTTAGCCAAACCCAGTAAATCAGTAAGAAGTTGCCAGTGTCTTTCTGGAGCTTGGTCCCTAGATCATGCTGTCTTCTACATACTCTAGTTGAACACCTGTTGAAGCCTTGTCTGTATATTCATAATATTTCCCCCAATCTCATTTCTATGGTCTCTGTGCAAAAAGTTTCCATCAGCAGGAACGCTGCCTACATTCTTTTGCAACTCTACAGTTCCTGTGGTTGTTCTTGTCTGAACTCTTCTCACGTGTCTGTTGTTCCTATGGAAGTAGATCTATTTATCATCCTGAAGAAAGTTCCCTATTTTTAGTAGTAATGTTTCTGGGGATGTTCCCATTTTGGAAACCTAAACAGGTTCTTATTTTTTCCTAAAGGGAAAAGAGTTCCTGACTGCCAAATCCATATTCAAATACCACCAGTGGAACTGACAGAGAACCACTGTTTTCCTCCATGTGTTTGATGAAGGCTTATGAGAGATACTGGAGATTCTTTGATAACAGTTTTATTTTAAAAATTCAAAAAATTAATTTTTGTGAATATTATGCAGAAATATAATCTCTGCATTATCTCTATCCCTCCTCATCTCCTCCAATTCCTCTTAGGTCTTCCCCTCATTCCCTCTCAATTTCTTTTTCTCTTCTTTTATTATTAATGTTACATATGTATAATCATATGCATATAATTATACATATATATATATATGCACTGAGTCCATTTAATGGTGCTCCTGTGTACTTTTATAATATCTTAAATGAAGAAGACCTATTATCTGCTACTAAGGATTATATATATATATATATATATATATATATATATATATATACACTTTTATTTCATTTTAAAATATATTATGCGCCCAAAGAATCTGTGTACACTTTGAGGTTAGCAAAGCTCTTTTTATTTGTGAAACCTGTCTTCCCAAGCAATGGCCTGAAAAACCCCCTTGCTTTGGGATTCTTAAGACTAGAAAAGATGAGTAAATAGAGCTTTGTAGTAGCAGTAATGTTTTGCTCTTAAGGAATATGGAGAGGGTTAAGGATTTATGATGATTGACCTGAACTCACAGGTAATAATTAGCCTGGCCCTCATGTTTTTAACCTGTTATTTAGCTAAACAAGCTGTACTTGTTCTTGCTTGTAAGATTCCTGCTAATTCTGTGATGTGCTTCAGTGAATCTTAGGGTCATGTTAAGAGCATTTTGGGGAATTTATTTTATTTTTCATTTTATGTGTATGATTGCTTTGCCTGCATGCATGTAAGTGCACTGTGTCATGCAATCCCTTCAGAGGCCAGGTACAGAGGCTAGAGGAGGTTGTCAGTTCTCTTGGAACTGGAGTTACAGACAGTGTTAGCCACCATGTGTACTAGAAATTGAACCTGGATCCTCTGGACGAGCAGCTGGTATTCTTAACTACTGAGCCATCTCTCCAACCCCAATCTAAGAGCATTTTCATTGACTTATTCATGTACATAGATAGCCTTTAGATAGTAAATATATGTATGCTTAGAGGGTTTCTTGTTTTGTTATCTTGAGTGATATTAACACTACTAATATATAGTACTTTTATTCACCAGTTAATATAGGTCAGTCATTAAATTACATGTTTTATATTTAGCAGTTGGTTTCATTTCAGCACATAAGATTTTTATCATTTTAAAAAAGAGAAAACAGAGTTAGTGAATCAATTAACTTTAGAGTTTCATAGCTCATAGTTTATTAGTATATGACAAAGCTGAGATTCAAATCTAGACCTGTTTTACTTAAAAAATGAAGTTAATCAATAGAAGTGAGAATTCAATTTTTGTACCAGAAATTTTAGAAAAATTAATCACTAATAAGTTAAGAATATAATTTTAGGCATAATTTATCACTATATATTATAACATATATTTGGCATATATTGTTATAAAATGGGAAGTTCAGGTAATGAATGCCATAGAAATGAGAGGAAAACTAAAAACATTTGAAAACTATCAAAAGTGAAAAAAAACACATCCTTTTGCAAAAGAAAACAACAAATATTTAAAAAATGTATTAAATCAAAATTTTCATTGTTTTCCAGAAACAATATGAATATATATAAACTTCTACTTAGATTTGAAAAGTAGTCTTCTAAACTGTTGGAGCATAGTTAAGTAGGTCACATTTTTGTAATATGAGTCATAAATGAGCAATTCTTAAGGAAAATTTAAATGTGGCCCTCAGACAACTGTATGCAATGTGGCAAGCACAACGTTTAAACTCTCACGTTTAGAAGTCCTTCAGAAATCTGATGTCATTCATAAAACCAGGAAAAGAAAACCCTCAGTCTTTTCTATTTCCTAAACCACATGGGAGGTAACTTACCATAAGTAAGCGATGGGGGTAAGACCTCTCACCAGATGTGTAATTCAGTAAATGGCATGCTGTGGTCATTACACATGGTGAATGGAAGTTCCATTGCAGTCTCCCCCAACTCTGTCCTCACATCACAGACTACCTAATTTGGAAGAAAAGCATTTAAAAGTTAGATTTCACTGAGATAAAGATTAGAAACTATAAGCAGTCTGCATAGTGTGTAAGGAACAAATTATTAGTTTCCTAGCAGTTTTTACAAGTAACCAATGGGAATGGGTATATGTCAATATTTTCCTTTTGGGTTAGAAACATAATTATTAGTTTGATCTAAATAAATTTCTTGTATTTAGCTTGTTTTGACTTAAAAGTAACAGCCTTATAATATTCACCTTAATACAAGCACAAATCAATTGCTGTATCATAGTAGTTGGTTATAAAAAATAAAAAAGAATATTAGTTATTTAGAAATAAAAATACTTCATTTTTTGGTATTTTCACCTAAGGGATTATTTGGTAGTGTTTTGAGAGAAAGTTTTAAACTGTAAGACAAATTCTTGGTAATGTGCAAAGTTTGCCTCCAAATTATGGGCAGTAGACTTGATTTAAAGAGACTAGACTTTTGGAAGTAAACATTTTATTTCATTTGAAAACTATAATTAAAGACCTATGCCATGTTTCAAGTATGTAAATAGTATTTATAAAAATATATTAAATTTGTAAATTAGAAAAACGTGCTGCAGATATTTAGAAAGCAATACTTTCATTAGAATAATTTAATCCTAATATTTCACTAACGTTTAAAATTATGTAGTCTAAGAAAATGTCATACAATTTAAAAACTTCTGTGCAAAATCAGACACAATATGACTACAAAAATATATAAATCAAAAGATTACTTAATTTCTTTTTTTTAAATTATTTTTGATACAGGGTTTCCCTGCAGCCCCAGCTGACCTGACACTCAGTGTGCCAGTAAAATTCATGGTATATGGCCAATAGTTGATTAACTGTAGCTGAAATAATTAAAATCTCCGAAGAGTTTCGTTAGTCCATGGTTATTTTTCTAGAAACAATTAATTCAGTCAACAGAGAAAATCCAAGAACACTATGAATCCAAAAAAACTCTATATTAGTTGCTTTTGTGCCACTGTGATCACAATATGGAGAGAAACAAGGGAATAAAGATTTATTTTTGGCTCATTGTGTCAGACAGTTTCAATCCATCATTGAGAAGGCAGAGGGTTGTAGCTTAGTTCATGGCAGTAGGTGTGTGGCAGAGGCAGTTCACACCACTGAAGACAGGAAGCAGAGAGAGTTGGTACCAGGGATTTTGCTCTAATATTAAAAACCTGTGCCTAAAAACTCCAGCGGGAATGGTATTAGTTTAAAGTCCTACTGAAAAATTGTACAGACAATATCCCTACATGAGTCAATGAGCATAGTTGGAAGACTACATAACAAGAAACAGTGCCAGAGAGAAGAAATCTTCCTTTGAGTTGTTGGCCTGGGTAGGTCAAGAGACTCCCCAAATTACACAGATCTTGATGGAAAGACTCTATTGCTGAAGAAGAGCTGATTTTCTTGAAGGGAGAGATGGTGGATAGGCTGACTAAACCCTAGTGGATGAGCTTGCACTAAGGGACATCTCAGGACACGAACTTTACATAATGGGCCTAACATACATGACAAAATGTATGCACTCCAGTGTGGGGGCTATGGGAGGGTGCCAAAGGGGAAGGGGGAAGGGGCCATAAATATGATTTTATGTATGAAATATACAGAAATTTAATAAAAAAATAAAAAATTGAGGGAAAATAAAAGAACCCTGTGGTTAGTGACCTGCTTCTATTAATTATGGCTCACTTGCTGAAGGGCTCACAACCTCCAAAATAGTACCACTAACTAGAGAAAAATCATTCAAATTACAAACCTGTGGGGGGACATTTCAGATTAAAATAATAGTATCCCACATCTGGGCCCCAAAATTTCATGGATGTCTCATAGTACAAGATACATTTAGTTTACCTTCAAGAGTGCTTAAGATTTTTTATTTTTTTTGGCTTTTTGAGACAGGGTCTCCCTGTAGCCACAGCTGGCCTGGATTTGCTATGGAGACCAGGCTGGTCCTGAACTCACAGAAATCTGCCTGCTGCTGCCTCCTTAGTGCTGGGACTAAAGGCATACACCAAATTTTAATACCTTAAATATCTAAAGTCTCTACTCATACTCAAGCAATCTCTTAGCTCTGAGTCTTTCAAAGAAAGGTTTCATTTTTCAATACACAATGGCACAGAGTAAACATTCCCATTCCAAAGGAATATAGAGAAGGATGGCATGGCAAGATTAGACTAAAAAGGGCTGAAACTTAGCAGAGCAGGCACTAAATCCTGTAGCTCTACCTCCAGCATCTTTGGCATATGGCATTATAATGACTCCAATTGACATAGGAAGCCACATCCTTATGCCGTTCTTTTAAATAATGTATTTCTTTTTGTTTTTCTGTAAATTTTATACAGAATTTTTGTGTATTTCATACAGAACATCTTAATCATCTTCATACCCCCTTCCCCATTGGCACCCTCCTATAGCCATCCCCCCACCCACTGGAATTCATACATTCTATCATTTGTCTTAAGGCCTATTATGTCAAGTTAGTGTCCCAGACATTCCTCAGTGCAAGTTCATCCACTGAGGTCTAGTCATCCTATCTAGAGTCCCTTCCTTTGAGAAGATCAGCTCTTCCTCGCCCAGCAGTAATCAGCTGCTGATAATTCTTCAACTAAGATTGGGTCCTACTGTCCATTTTACAGTTCTGTTCTTGTTTTTTATTTGCTCGAGTGTGCATGGGCCTTGTGTATACTGACACCATTGCTGTAGGATCATATGAGCACTGTCTCAGGAGCCTGTAGGACTCCGTTTTCATATGGTCATGCACCTCTTCCCTGGTTCTTACAATGTTTCCACCCCCTCTTCTGCAATGGTCCTTGAACACTGAGTGGGTTGAGTTTACTATAGGAGTCCTGTCAAAAACTCTCCAGTGCTTTCCTTAATTTACTGAGAACTTTACTTGGAGCAAATGGATTCTTTTTAAAACAGAAGCTGGGGTTGGGCTAAACTGGCTATGTAGCAAAGGGCAGCAGAATTAAGGACGTGAGAGAGGTAGATGCAAAGGGAGGGGATAAGCACCTGTGAGGATGACCTAAAAGAAGATAGAGTTTGTGACCAAAATATGGGAATTACAGGGACTTAATAAATGAAATGCTACATACTGTTTGATACAGCTGCTTCGAACTTTAGAAATCTTTGGTAAATTCAGTCAAATCATTATTCGCCTTCTATAAATGAATTGCCTGTGGCTTTGGAGCAAGTGAAAAAGTTCACTTTTGTATTAGCGTTTTTTCCAGAGGTAAGTGGAATGGATAAGAAAACAATGCACATATGGGTCATATCTTAATTATCTCTTTAAATATTTTATTTATTATTTTTATTTTATGTGTGAGTGTATTGCCTGCATGTATGTAAGTGCACCCATGTCATGCAATGCACACAGAGTTCAGAAGAGGGCGTCGGATCCTCTGGAACTGGAGTTACAGATGGTTGTTAGCCACATGTGGGTGTTGGGAATTGAACCTGGTTCCTTTGTAAGAGCAGCCAGTTTTCTTAACCATGAGCCATCTCTCCAGCCCCCTTAATTATCCTTTTAGACTCTCACAACGTTATCTTTCACTGACAAATTGTGTGCTTGCAGTATGCAACATAATTTTGAAATATGTTTTCCTAATAGAACATCTAAGTCATACTAAATTATATATGCATTATTTTACATATGTTTTGTGGTTGAAAACACTTAAAAAGCTACTTGCTTAGAGATTTTGCAAAAGGACAATAGTTAATAATTGTGGTCTCTATGGTGTATGATAGATCTCCTGGATTTCTTTATTTCTCTTAACAGAAATTTAAAATCTTTTGGTCAAAATATCTCTTAATTTCTTTCCTTTCCAAAGTAACCATTCTGCTCTCTACTTCCATGGTGTTTTTTTTTTTCTTTCTTTTTCTTCTTTTTTTTTTTTTGGTCTTTTTGAGACAGGGTTTCCCTGTAGCTCCAGCTGGCCTGGAACTTGCTATGTAGACTAAGCTGACCTGGACCTCACAGAGATGTTCCTGCCTGTGCCTCCTGAGTGCTGGGATTAAAGGGTTGCACTACCACATTTGGGACTTAAGTGGATTTTAAAGATTATATATGTATCTAATATATCTAACATATACCTAGTATATCTAATATCTATTTATCTATCATCTATCTATCTCTATTATCATCTATCTATCATCTATTTATCATCTATCTATCTATCTATCATCATCTATCTATTATCTATCATCTATCTATATATCCATCTTTCTATCTATCATCTATCTATATCTGTCATCTATCATCTGAGATCATGTGATACTTGAATTACTGTGCCTGGTATATTTCACTTAGCAAGAGGTCTAACTACGAGTTATCACAGCAAATGGCGGAATTGTTTACTTTTATGCCTATATGGCACATTTTCTTTATTCATCAGTTGGTGGACACTTAGATTGCTTCTTTTTCTTGAGTTTTGTGAATAGTGCTGCATTAATCATGAGAGTGTAGCTCTTTCTTTATACTGATTTAATTTCCTTTGGATACATGTATTCTACACATCCTTAACAACACTTGTAGCATTTTGTCTTTTGGATAACAGCTTTTATAATAGGTTGGAGATGATAACTCATTATCTGCAATTGCATTTGCAAAAATTAATGCCCAGAGAAATTAAGTAATTATGCATGAGCCAAAAGGACATAGATTGCCAATTTGTACTAAGGGATAAATCTTTAGTAATATGCATTCAAACTTTTCTATACTTTCCTTTATATAATGGCTTTCACTATATTAATTCAATTTTCTCTACTATTTCATACAGAAAAGCATAACAGAAAATGACCAGTGTTTTAATCCATTGAATTTGAAATCTATCTTTCCTTAGAGTACTATAAAGAAGGGCTGTTTGTGCCTCCTGTTGGTTTGTGGAGAGCAGAGGAGAAACACCCAATCATTTACAATGACATTCTGGGCAAAGAGAAAGTTATAATCATCTCACAAATTGG